AATACTCATATATCTTCCATGAGCGTTATATTTCCTAGTACAGAAATGTTCTGTCATTTGTTCTTTGTACTTTCATCTCTTCACTAGATTGTTTTGATCTGTCGAGGCTTCATTAAGTGCAAAGCAGATCCATTCCATTGCCTTTCTGCCCATGGATGATCTTCTCATCATGTTGCGACTTCTCTCAACCCATTCAAACCATGTGTCTTTGTTAGAGTTTCATCTGGTGATGTCAAAAGATTTGAATCCTGCGTTGAAATATATCCTGTTGTCTCCCATATTGTACTAAACCAGCTGCTCAGCTTATGATAGTTAAAGTTTGTTTGGAAGTTATCCCGGTGGGCTAGAAAACTCGAAAATGAAAGAGGAAAGACCAGAACCAGAAATCTGGAAGGTTCCTACCACCGGAAAAAAATCAAAGTTGTCGGAATTCAGAAAGGATTGTATGGTTGTGGTCGGAATTCCCCAGTGATTGTGCTGTCTAAAAGAAATTTTTTGAAAAAGTGGTCGGAATTGTGCTCACGCGCCGGCGCGTGGCATTGTCCTCGCCGGAGTCTGGCTGCGCGTGGGGGCGCGTGGGGGTGTTTTATCGAAGCTATTTTCAGAGGGGTGGTCGGAATTTGATCGGCGTTCTAATGGTGTTAATGGATTCTCAGAATTCCTTGTTCTCAGGCTCCTCGGGGAGTGTGCCTGGAAGCTTTTTGACTGATCGTTGTTCCTACTGCTGCCTCCCAGAGGATTAGCTTGTATTTTTTCTTTATGCTATTCAAGATAATTACTAAAAAGGTGAAATTTACACGAAAAAATCGACAGCCATAACTAGGTACACAAAATTGCTAAGAAAAGAAGAAAATCAATCCTGGATTTCTTATTAAGTTATAAAGATATTGATGCATATATGTGATATATCTGCTAAATGATTCAAATAAACTGAATTAGAACTGTTTAATCTGTATCGAAGAACTTCAATGTTTTCGTCAATCAGTTCTAAAATTGGTGTTAATGTATTTGACAGTAAATATGAAGAAGTTTAAAATGACATATGATAGATACCAAAGATAATTAACGTTTGATATGACTTAAAAAAAAAAAATTAAAAAAAAAAAGCTTGTCTAAACCGGCATAAACCCGTATAGACCCGCAACCCATCCCACATCAGTTTTTAAAAGAATGGCTTAAAACCTCCCTGCACCGCAAAGTCTTAAACCCGCACCGGCCCACATAGCATTTAACCTGCACTGCCCCGCCCCCGCACCGTCCATTTGCCATTCCTAACCGCCAACTCTTCACGTCCAAAATTTGAAAGATTACCTACCCAAGTACCCCTTAAAGACTTCATGTACTGCCGGTGAATGATCTCCTGTTCTTCATGTTTCTGTGATCAAAGTATTTGGCTAAAGAGAAGAAATGAAGGCATCTTCATGCCATTTATATAGTACCATATAGAAAAATAATACAATTACATGGTTTCCTCGCTACAAAATATTCATTCCTCTGTGAGATTCATAATCCAAGTATTCGGCATTAGGCTGTCCAAAGGCCGCATTGTTGTATCCAAACATATCAAAAACCCTATCATCTGGAATCATGTGTGTGCCACTCTCTCTCCCTTTAAAACTATCCATTGGAGAAGCCCAAGGGCCCGGATTCGAGCTAGAGGCTTCTTGGTTCATGTTTTGTGCGTTATGGCCATGGGGTGAGTTCCCAACTGCCCTCTTGTTGGAGGAGTTGGCAGTCAGAGATATCGACGCTGATTGTTGCTGCATTTGCTGCTGATTCTTCATTGGTGATTTGGGCCGAAGCGCCTCTATATCAAGAGTTGTAACAACAAGATGTGGTGCTTCTGGAGGTGGATTTCTTCCTCCCCCGCCCTGCCAAACTTTCCCATCCTTATCCGCAAAATTCCTTGTGTAGGCCTGAACTATTTCCAAATTGTACAGTGAGCATAAGAAACAGATAATGTAGCAGCGACTCGGTATAAAGCATAACCCCCTCTAAAATATCCAAATGCCTGCAACTTAAGTTGACTGAACAATCTGAAGGAAGCAAGTCAGAGCTAAAATATATGATTGTCACCATAAGTGATTAGCCAATGGATGACCAAAATCTCTTCCTAATGGAGAGAGTTGAAGCATATGATAGACAGAAGATAACAGTAACTCAGTAAGTGGCAAGTAGAAAAGAAAAAGGGCATATGATGAATGATAGGGTTCAAGGTTTTGCTACCTTTTAGACCACGGAAAGTAAATTTAATGGGAAAATGCAACCATAAAAAATATAATATTTCCTCTCTCGCTTTTTGTTTTTTCCAAATTTGAGATATTCCAGGAGCAATAAATCCTCCAATATAGATATTGACGAGTATCAGCTCAAAATAAAATTAGCAGGCCAGCTGACATTTTTACCTCAGCATTAAAGTTCGATGAAGATAATCCTTTCCCAAGAGTCAACCAGCCAGATCGAATATTATGGTCTTCACCAAAGAGCTCAAGCCTTCTACGGCCAAGTGCAAAATGCTCAACAATACGGTACATATCTTCAGGTTTTGCAGTTGATCCTGCATTAAGGTGGCCAACAGCGATTTCAGATGAGCTCAGTTACTGTGCGTAACCAATGGATAACCAATGGAATACATTTGTAGCCTCAAATTGGGGGTTCCTCAAGTTAGGGAGATTAATAATTCTCCCAAAAGTGATCATATGCAAGAAGTCATGGATCATATCGTTACCCATATTATCCACCTGTTAACCCGTTTTCTCCGTATTAAAAATGGGTTGGATCGGATAATTTATCAGTTTTTTCATTACCCGTTTCCAACCCGAACCATACCCGCCCCGTCCATTTGCCACTCCTAGCCACAGCCAAGCCTGGAGGTACACCTTAAAGCCAAAAAGAAAATTACAGTGAAGAATATTGAGAAGAGAGCAGCATTGTCTACTCCCTCCATCCCTCAGCCTTCCCCTAACCACAGGCAAAGGTGAACATTTTTCTGAGTAAACCAAATGACAATAAAATCCTAAAAGGGAAAATAGAAGAGAGCACCGTAGAGTACTGAAGCTAGAGAGAGGGCCCCACCCAAATAAGAACAGCCTTTTCTTATGAGCTAGCAAGATGAGAAGAAGAGAAAAAACGGAATACTCTTATTATTTTCCCTGTCAAGTATTGGTGTCACAGCTTGTAAAAGTATATAATTACTCAAAGAGAAAAGGCCGTAATTCCCATTAAGTGCTAGTACTTTCAGCTTAGTTTCATCAAAAAGGCAAACATATGAATGAAGGGTTGATAAGAAAAAAGCATACAGTAAGTTTCTGCAACGATATATTTCATGACTAGTATCTAGTTTCGAAGAGCAAATATAAGCTACATATATAGAGTGGTATAGACAAATACCGTAAGGAGGTTCCTCAGCTATAATCACATCAGTGTCGATGTTTGCATGAATAATATGACCATCAGTACTACGACGAACAGTTCCCTTTATGCCCATAAGGCAGTGCTCCTATATCACGATGAGTAGCGGCAGAAAAGTCAATTAATGGTTGTAATGACAAGATTACACCTTTGGAAAGAAAGAGCTGATATAATTTATGAACCTTTGAACGCTGAAACAAAGTATGTGAATCATGTCGTAATCCAGGAGCGGCGTTGGATTTGTTTGTCTTCACCCAACATATGTCTTCGCACCTGCGAAATCCCCACTGCATATAACAAACAGCATTTAAGAACCATGAATCGAACATGTTACTGGCCTTTGACCATAGTGTTTTCTTTTTGTGTCCTTCTCTCTCTCTCTCTCTCTCTCTCTGTGTGAGAGAGAGAGAGTTA